TAAGACTGACAACAATAAAACAAAATCCGTTGTCAACTATAATATCAGGTATAAGATAAGACTGACAACAATAAAACAAAATCCATTGTCAACTATAATATCAGGTATACGATGACACCTACAATAATAAAACAAAATCCATTGTCAACTATAATATCAGGTATACGATAAGACTGAAAACAATAAAACAAAATCCATTGTCAACTATGATATCAGGTATACGATGACACTGACAACAATAAAACAAAATCCATTGTCAACTATAATATCAGGTATACGATAAGACTGACAACAATAAAACAAAATCCGATTTCAACTATAATATCAGATATACGACAAGACTGAGAACAATAAAACAAAATCCATTGTCAACTATAATATAGATATATGATAAGACTGACAACAATAAAACAAAATCCGTTTTCAACTATAATATCAGATATACGACAAGACTGACAACAATAAAACAAAATCTGTTGTCAACTATAATATCAGATATAGGATAACACTGAGAACAATAAAACAAAATCCGTTGTCAACTATAATATCAGATATACGACAAGACTGACAACAATAAAAGAAAAGTTTATGTTTTAATTTTGTTTATGCAATTTGTCAAGAGGAATTCATGTAATATATTTGAAGGGTCCTGGAGTCCTTTATTTTTAGGAACTGAATTTTCCTGTATAATGCTGGAACCCTCAATGTGGATTCCTGTATGTAATTATTGATCTTCCCAAGGAAGGTTCTGTCTGTACAGTTTTCCTCCTCTCGGATACAAACATCTACCCTTGTGTTTACAATACATGGTGACTCGTAAAGGGGAGGAGTGGATCTTTGTGATATAGTGGTATTGATGGCTCTGCAACACAATGCTTGGGCCTTGAATTAATACCTGTAGACAGTTGGCCTTGGGGTGGCTCTCAGGATGAATCAGTTGGTGATGTGTGGCTAGAGTCAAATGAATGCCAGTGTTAGATGTTCTCAACAGGTGTTGTGTTTGGATATAGTGCCCCAAAACCCTGTAATAACTGCACTGTACTAGTTTTACTGTGTAGTACATCCTCTTGTAGGACTCCATGGTGAGGGGTAATGAATCTTTCTCTTTTACATGGATGCTGATGATAATGAAAACCAAAATAAAAATTATAATGATACGAATATTCGTTACACAAGGTTCAAGGGGAAATAAAACAATAAAATTTAATTATAAATAGGTATATACTGTTAAGAGTTTAAAGCTATTTAAAATAAAAGAATGTATGTTCATGTTACAATCTAAAGTCATTCTAGAGAACAAAGTAATTTAGATTAATTTTTGGTGGTTACATGGACAGTCAAATTGACCAACCTTGTATAGATTCATAATAGAGATAGGGTAGAGTAAGTAACAGATAAAGTATAAATTTTACTGAAAAAAAAGCATTTGGAATTTGTTTAGGATGTTTTAGCAATTATGAAAATGGAGTTTAATAATTTTGAAATAAAGAAAAGTGTTTTTAATCTATATAATTACAAATGAGAAAAAATGTTACATCATGAGGAAGAATAGTGTGAATTTTACACAGCTTATCTAAACCTTAGAAAAAACCAATTAATTTTAATATTGCCTAAAACATGGAAGAAAAAAGGAAACAAGGCAACTACAAAACAGACATGCACTACCTGGGCACACACCATAAGGTGTGCCCCAAATTGCATTGGGGGTACACTGTTTATCCAATTTAACTTCAGTTTCGCAGGTCTCACAGTCTTAATACAAAAAAAAGAGAGAGAGCAGATGTCGGTGCTCTAGTCCACAACATCCCACATCTTTACCACCTTTCTCTGTCTGTAGCCAGATGTGGATACTCTAGCCCACAATGTCCCACATCTTTACTACCTTTCTCTGTCTGTAGCCAGATGTCGGTGCTCTAGTCCACAATGTCCCACACCTTTACCACTTTTTAATTAATAATTGGAATACATACATCAATGGGTAAAACTGTCCTTGAAGTTGATATTCTAGCCCCATAATGATGTTTGGACATAAATACCACGATATTAAGGTATTAAAAGAGAGCAGATGTCGGTGCTCTAGTCCACAATGTCCCACACCTTTACCACTTTTTAATTAATAATTGGAATACATACATCAATGGGTAAAACTGTCCTTGAAGTTGATATTCTAGCCCCATAATGATGTTTGGACATAAATACCACAATATTAAGGTATTAAAATACAAGCCCATGTCATAAAGATGTGGGACGTTGTGGGCTACAACACCCTTATCTGCTCTCTCTTTTTTTTTTCTTAAGAATGTGAGACCTGTAAAACTGAGGTTAAACTGGATAGAAGGTGTACCCTAATGCAATTTGGGTCTTACTTCCTCCAGTACCTCAAAAACCAGGGCACATTGCATAACCACCCACTTTATGGTGTGTGCCCAGGTGGTACATGTCTGTTTTGTAGTTGCCATGTTTCCTTTTTTTCTTTCATGTTCTACATAATATTACAATTGATTATGTGTGTGTGTATATGTATGTATGTATGTGTGTGTGTGTGTGTGTATGTATATGTATGTATGTGTGTGTGTGTGTATGTATATGTATGTGTGTGTATTTATGTATATATATTCACAGACAAATCTTTAGCAAATATACTTCATTAAAAAATTAGATTTTTTGTGTACAAAAGATGTTTGCTAAGAATCTGCCATATTTTGTGAAGATGTACATACTATGTTAAAAGTTATTGTACAGAAAATGTGACAAGTACAAAATGGTTACTAGGTTGGTTGAATCGACTGACTTCATGTTGAGAGAATTGATTTTAAAAAAATGTTAATTGGAAAGCAACGATGTATGGAAGACTGAACTGCAGTCACCACTTTCTTATTTTATCATTCTTTGTCTGAGAAATCTTTAGTGCAAACGTCTCTCTCTTCTTTTTTTTTTTTTTATCCAGAAGGGATTGATGGGGCTTGCTGGCTCTCGATCAAGAAGCTACAGTTTGGAGATACCTTGGTTGAAACATCTATGCCACATCATAGTGAACTCCTTTTGAAGTCAAATTGCATATAGGATCTACCTATTTAGGTTACTCCCCATGTTACTTTGAATTCCTCAAGGGGTGTGACAATAAAGAGGGATTTACTTCACATTTCTTAGTCAGAAATTCTTGCTGGTTTCTCCAGTCAAGGAGTTTTAGCTGTGTGATGCATCTTCACTTGTAAAGGTGGAATAATGCAGCCTAACACTGTTCTTATACTGACATTTATATTGCTATGTCCATCTGCCAGTGTCAAGGAAGGTTATCTGAGCTGAAAGGTATGTCCCTATATTCCTAACCTTCTCAGATGTGTCCAATGCCAGAGGTTTAGACACTCAAAGACATCTCATATTGTTGCCCTAAGTGGATGAAGGAGAAAGAGGTTCAAGAGTTGCGTACTGTCAACAACATCCTGAGGCACAAAAATCATAGTCACTGAATTTTTACAAAATCTTGAGCAGCAGGGGTTAAACCCAAAAAATTTCTTCATAAGTGAAGGGTAAAAACATTGTCTACACACCAGTGTATGTAATTTTAAACAAAGTGTTATATTCCACACTGGAAATACTATTTATCTGAACCTGAGTAGTCTAGCTTATGAGAAAATTGTAAATAACCCTTAATGTTCAAAGTTAACATTATGTATCGGCCAAGACAATATATAACTATTGATATTTCTTTTAAAAAAACTTCCAGGTTTATTGTTTGATTCATTTGATTATTTCAATTTGAATAGAATTTCTTTATACAGACATAGCTTTAATTTTTTAAACACAACCTATATTTCACTAAATGTTTAGATAATTACATATATCCATTGCATATTTTTAGAAGACTCAAGCATAATATTTGTTTTCTATGCTCTAAGTACATTTTGTAGAATTTAAACAGCTTTTATGGAAAATGAAGGGTAAATCGTTATTATTGAAAATGGTTTGGACCATCTGTGTTTATATTTTTATACCACATAATCATATAGAATAATCAACAAAAAGCAGTCAGAATAATACCATGTGCATGTATTCAGTTCATAATGTTTGCATAATATAGGTTTGACTGTTTAATGACTTATTTGTTTGAGTTATTTATTTAATCAGTTACAAGTGTAACATAGTGCCTATGAATGGAATGCGTGGCAGGATGATTATCATAACTTATTTCTAAACAGTTTACTATGCATTTAGCAATTAGCATATACATTGTGGATATACACATATGGATCATGCAATGGAATAGAATACTGCTTTGAATATTTAATTGGGGATTTACTGACATCCATACACAAAATCGTTTTATGTATAAATATAATTGTACATATACAGTTATTCCTACATATCTTGTTTTGTACCTGATTCGATACATACGAATATAATTATTAACCACATCACTCGAAGAAAGCCATTTGCTGTCATTTTAATCTCGTTATCTGTTCACGATAAGGTGAGTTCTTTCCATCTATAGATCAATTTTTAAACTGTTATATGATTCAATATATGTAATATTACAATGAAATGCTAGACCTGCCAAATTTTAAACAAGGTTTATGATTCTCTCTATATTTTATATAAGTGAGCTATTTTAGAAGAGTGTAAACAATGTTTTCATATTCCTAAATTTGGCTGTGCTCTGTCCGTGTGTTTTTTCAATATTTATTACAATAGCGATTGAAAACACTCCAAGACCACACCAGAAAACATTATTGGCCAGACAATGTTAAGGAAAAGTGTGATGACTTATAGGTAACATGTAGGATACTAAATCACAATTAATAATTACCACTATGAATATTATAGAATTTTTTAACAATTTCCCAAGACCTAGAGTTCAAGTATATACCCACTATAAAGATTAATCCTACCGAGATATGTATTGGACCTAATAATTATTTTTATAGCTATGTGCACATATATTTGTTAAATTATCCACAACACAAAATGTTGCCAATATTTTCATCTAATTGTTAAGATAAATGGATTCTCCAAAGAAATGTAAAATTTCACAGACAGTTTTAACAGCATTTGTAAAGCCGGTAACATCAGTAAAACTGGTGTCATGTGCAGACTCAACATCCACTTCAGTAACGATGAGCCCACTAATATCAGTGCCATGTGCAAAAACAACATCCACTTCAGTAACAGTGAATCTGTCAGTATCAACACCACAATGTGCAGAATCAACATCCACTTCAGTAACAGTGAATCTTACAGTATCAACACCACGATGTGCAGAATTAACATCCACTTCAGTAACAGTGAATCTGTCAGTATCAACCTCACGATTTGCAGAATCAACATCCACTTCATTAATGGTGAATCCATTAGTCTCAACACCACAATGTGCAGAATCAACATCCACTTCAGTAATAGCAAACCTATCAGTATCAACACCACAATGTGCAGAATTAACATCCATTTCAGTAACAGTGAACCTGTCAGTATCAACATCACAATGTGCAGAATCAACATCCACTTCAGTAACAGTGAATCTGTCAGTATCAACACCACAATGTGCAGAATCAACATCCACTTCAGTAACGGTGAACCTGTCAGTATCAACATCACAATGTGCAGAATCAACATCCACTTAAGTATCAACAAACCTGTCAGTATCAACACCACAATGTGCAGAATCAACATTCTCTTCAGTAATGTTGAATTCGTCAGTATCAACACCACAATGTGCAGAATCAACATCCACTTCAGTAATAGCAAACCTATCAGTATCAACACCACAATGTGCAGAATTAACATCCATTTCAGTAACAGTGAACCTGTTAGTATCAAAATCACAATGTGCAGAATTAACATCCACTTCAGTAACAGTAAATCTGTCAGTATCAACACCACAATGTGCAGAATTAACATCCACTTCAGTAACAGTAAATCTGTCAGTATCAACACCACAATGTGCAGAATTAACATCCACTTCAGTAACAGTAAATCTGT